CGCGCGCGCTCGGTCCCGCCCCGCCCCCTCTGCTCGTTCCGGCGGGAATAGGGCACGCGCGCTTCTTCCCCGGGCAACTGCCGTTCGTCGTTCGTGGCCTCCTCAGGTGCGCTTCAGGTGTGGCGAGGTTCCCCAGAGCATCCTTGTCAGAGCCCCCCCCAGAACCGTCGAGGAGAGTCCCCAATATCAGGGTCCTTCAAGCCTTGTTCAAAGTCTTCTTGAAAAATCCCCTCAGAAATACGGAGAGGAACCCACCAGGGAATCTTAGAGATGACCCGTGAAATCTCGTCAGAATCTTATAGAAATTCTGTCAGATTTCTTCCTCAGAGCCTGTCATAGAGCCCCCGAAATCCCGTTACGCTCCTTTCCGGATCCTATCAGAGACCCGCCCCCAAGTCTTGTCAAGATCTCCAGAAATCTTGTCATGCCCACAAAAATCCTGTCAGATTCCCCTCCCAGAGACCCGAGACCTCTGAAACCCAGTCAGAGACACCCCCCAGAGATCTAGTTAGATCCCCCCAGAAATCCAGAGATCCACTGGAAATCTAGTCAGAGATCCCCCTCCCCCAGAAATCCAGAGATCCACCCAGATCCAGAGACTCCTCCCGAAATCTAGTCAGAGAGCCTTCCAGAAATCCAGAGACCCAGCAGAAATCCAGTCAGAGACCCCCTAAAATCCAGATCCCCTTAAAATCCCCGGGATTCCCGCCTGGGTCCGCCTGCTAGAATCTCCCTGTCAGAGGCCTTCGAGATTGACCAGAACCTCCCTCCATCCTCACCAGGAATTTGTCCCCCAAACCCTGCCAGAAGCTCCCAGTACCTATCAGCACCCCCAAAGGAACCCTTCCCCACTCCGGTCCCATGGCCATCCATCCCTTTCTGCATCCTCCAGCATTGCCCAAACCCCGGAAGTGTCTCTCCTCAATTCCGCCTTTTCCAGAACATTCTAAAAGCTGCCACGAAGTGTGTAGGCCACAGTTGTGAACCCCATCTGGTGCCAGGGAGAGCAGGCTGTGGGGAGTACTTGGTGAGAAAAGGGGGCCTGAGCCGGTGGGGTGAGGATGGACAGGCCCCGGGCAACCCTGCCTGACCATTTGCCCCAGTGTACCCAGTTCGGTGCAGTGGGCACCGTTGTCCAGTGTATAATTATTAATAGCACCCCTTTCACTCTTGAAAGCATCCCCGAGTTAGGACAGGAAGTCATATGGTCGACCTGGTTATAATGGAGACAGGACAGGGCATCGTCGGGGCACAGAGGAGGGAGTCCCTAACTGCTCCAGGGACTCAGGAAGGCTCCCCAGGGAGCTGCGGGCCAGGGCAGGGGCCGCAGGTGGGAACGGTGCATGTGGTGTGGCCTGGGCGTGGGAGGATCATGGGAAGATCTCAAGCTCCCATGGTCGTGATGAGGGCGACAGGCTGCGGGCCAGGGCAGGGGCCGCAGGTGGGAACGGTGCGTGTGGTGTGGCCTGGGCCTGGGAGGACCATGGGAAGACTCAAGCTCCCATGATCGTGATGAGGGCGACAGGCCTGGGGATCAGCCAGTGGAGAGAAAAGTGACCAAAAGGCAAGGAGTTGCAGGGACCTCTGTGCTACACCAGCCCAAAGGGCTAGGACTTAGTCCTGAGGGTATTAGGGAGCCATGGGAGGGTATTAGGGAGCCATGGGGGTCAAATTCACGTGAGAGGCCAACATTTCCAAATACAGGCTGACACCGCAAGGATGTCAGTAGCCCAGGATAGTGCGGGAACCCAGAGGCAAACGTTCCGAAACGTTTCCCCAGAGGAGGGGACATATGAGCCGAGACAGGAAGGGCTGGCAAGAAGGGTGTCCCAGGCAGAGCCCCAGAGGTGATAATGGAGTGCCTAGCTTGGGGAACAGCACGCAGTTCAGAGTTGCTGGAGCAGCAAGTGTGGGTGGGGCCAGGCCACACAGGGCCTTTGATGCTGGGTCCAGGATCTAGGCTCTGTCCCTGGGGTGCTGGGGAGCCACAGAAGAGCATTGAGCAGGTGAGGGATGGGGCGCTGTGGGGATGGACCAGAGCGGGAGACTGGAGGCTGGGAAGCCAGAGAGAAGGGTCGGGGGCGGAGAAGATGAGCCTGAGCTGTCGGGAAAGAAAGGAGAGGACAGGGTCGAGTCACTGGGGAGGAAGGACAGGATTGGGGACTTGACAAGCTGTGGGGAGGAGGGGTGTCGAGGCAGTGACCGCCACCCACTAGCCCCCTTTTGATCTCTGCCACCCACTCCTCAGGTTTCCCTTTTACCAGCTCACACCTCCAATCCATAAAACAGATCTGAGAGGGAGTTGCTGTGATGGAGGCCTGGGCGGGCAAACAGGTTCTGAGAACCCAGAGCACCCCAGGGTGCAGAAGGGGTAGGGCAGGTCCCCACCCTCAGGTGACTTGTCCAAGGAGGCCATTGCCTTGCTTGTCCTTCTAGGAGCTCTCCCGGCAGCCAGTCCCTTTTCAGTCCTTGCCAGTGATGGAAAGAAGCTGTTAGCATCGCCTGCAACTGCCAAGCAACGAGGTTGGCCCATGGACCTGCCAGAGAGCCTGGCAGGCAGCCCTGCTACAAAAAGTAGGTGACTGGGCTCGTGTTTGCTCCATGGGAAGATGAGGGGGGAGCAGTGGGTGAAGGGGCACCAGGCTGTGACTTGGGGACTTGAGAGAGGTGGCTTGGAGTGGCTGAGGCTCCGTCTTCATGCCAGGTAGGAAAGAGAGAGCCAGCTGTGTGCCCACCTGTCTGGACCCCTCATCCCCTTTGCTCTGGAGAGGCCAGAGCAGAAGCTTTTGCTATGACTCTTGCCCAGAGCAACCCCCACCAGTGACCCGCAGGCTCCCGCCTCGCTTCATTCAGATCTCAGCTTTCTGTAAAGCAGCTGCCCGGTCACTCTCTCCTCCCTCCTGCTTTACCTCTCCTCATAGCACTGACGTTGGCAGGACCGTTTGGTCTCTGTCTCCGCCACTAGAACAGGAGCTCCGCCAGGCAGGGTCTGTTTCATTTACCCTGCTATTTTCAGTCCCTAGAGCAGTGCTGTCCGACATGCGTGTCATCTATGTAATTTTCAATCGTATTAGTAGCCTTATTTAGAAGAAAAAGAAAAAAGAATCAGGCAAAATGAATGGCAATAATAGATTTCATTTAACCTAATACATCCAAGGTAGTATTCTTTCAGCACATAATCAATATGAAAATGTATCATATTTTTTTTTCATACTAAGCCTTCAAGATCTGATGTATGCTTTACACTGAGAGCAACTCAGTTCACACTTGCCACAGTTCAAGTGCTCACAAACCACATGTGGCGAGTGGCTTCTCTACTGGTTAGCGCTACCCTAGATCAATGCCTGACACATGGCAGGAACCGTGGTTACTGTCCTTGAGTGATTGGCTGGGTGCAAACCAAATGGGTGTGAAAGCACTTTGGGAGGAACTCATCTGCTAAGTGGAGAGCCCAACGGTAATCATGGGGGAGGAGGTTCCCACCCGCGGGGAGAGGCAGGGCCTTTTTCTTAGGGGCTCCCAGCATCCCGCTACAGAGCCTTAGTCTTTTCGCAGGACCGCAGGCCTGAACTGTGGCCTCAGGAGGTTTTCCAGGTAGAAAGATTGGAGGCAGAGACACCTGGGTGTGAGAACCCAAGGGCCTGCTGACCGAGTGACCAACTTCTACACTTCACTGGCACCAGCAGAGGGCGTGCAGCCACCGAGGAACCCATGGGCAAGGGCTGAGCCCGCCTTGGGAGGCTCCCTAGGAAAGGGAGGGACACACTCAGGAGAGATGGAGACAGAGGCGGGGTGGAGGGGGGAACAGAGAGACAGCAAGGGAAGGAGGGAGAAGGCTGGGGACTGGAGAGTCGCTCAGATATGGAAAGAGAAGCACAGAGATGGAGACAGAAGAGAATGGGGGTGAGGGACACGGAAATAGAGAGGCAGGACACAGGGGGGAGAGAGATGGGGCAGACGATAGAGAGAAAGGCAGGGACAGAGACAGAGAGAGGTAGGGACACTGAGGAAGGACATGAAGGAAAAAGAACTGGAGAGAAGCAGAGCAACACCTTCCCGCGGGGCCCGGGGAAGGAACTGCAGACAGGTGCGCATCTGGAGCCAGACAGTCCTGGTTGACTCTGGCTCACTCTCCCTGGCCAGTGACCTCGCTGGGCCTCAGAGTCCTGCTCCATACCATGAGGAGCACAGTGAGAGGGAGAAACGAGAGTGTGGGAAGCCCCGGACACGGGCCCTGGCATCTCCCATAACTGTGGGTTCCTGCTCCCCTTCCCAAGGAGCGTGGGTTCGAGCCCCAGGAGCTCACTGTAAAGAACCCTCGAAGAGTTAAAGGAATGAGAACGGGCACTCGTGTTGAACAGGTGACCTTAGGCAAGTTCCTAACTTCTCTGTGCCTAAGTCTCCTTGTCTGTAAAGGGGGACTAATAATAGTGGCTACCACGGTCCATGCAAACACTCAGGAGAGAGGCCTGAGTGCATGTTTGATTCTATTAGTGAGCCTCCAGTGCATGCCAGGCCCTCTCCTCTGCTGGGGACATTTCAGATTTCATCTCATTTCTTCTCTAGGAGGGAAGGGAGACGACCCCATTTTCCAGAGGAAGAATCTGAGGCTCAGAAAGGCTGAGTTTCTTGCCTGGGTTGTCTGCCAGACCCTGAACCCTGTGCTCAGCTGGCTGCTATGCCCAGCTGTCCAGGGAGCCTTGAAGGTCACTTCCAACCCTGAGAAAGAGGCTGGGCTGTCCCAGTGGCTTCTGGGGTAGAGACCTCCTCCTATATCTTCTTTGCAAACAGATCCTGGGACATTCACATCGTATGTGATCAAGGGGCTCTTCACATACACAGACCTAACCCTCTCAGCCCTGGATAGGGGGATCGCTCTACCTGCCCCTGTATTACTGGTGGGGAAACTGAGTCTCCAAAAAGAGAAGCAACTTGCCCATAGTCATGCAGCTAGGCTCTTACCCCCGACCCTTCCTGGATCACCCTATTCCCCGACTACTGGCCTGGCCTTGGACTCCTGTGATGCCAGCTTTGACTTGGGGATGGTGAGAGGAGAGAGAGCCGGCTCCCCAGACATGCTAGGAGACCGGAAATGTGGCAGGCAGAATCGATCCAGGCTGCCCGCGCAGTGCGTTATCGGATTGTTCCTGGCTCCTAGGCCCCCCTTCACCCTCAGCTCATCCCAGAATTCTCTCTTCTCTGCCCTCGCCCCCACACCCCGCCCCTGCCTCTAGCCCCCTCCCAGCTCAGCCTGAGAGGCAGGGGAACAGAGGAGGAAAGGGTGATTAATTGTTCATTCAGCTCTCTGGGCTACTGAGCCAATTGGATACAAAGGATTAGACAGCAGGGGGCACTTCCGGCCTGAAAGATGGGGCCCACATCTCCAGGGTGGGGACAGGGAGGTGACTCAAAGACCCTCACGTCGCTGCCCCCACCGGAGGCTCCCTATGGGTCTCCACCAGCCCCAACTCCAGGCAGCTTTGAATGAATTCCCTCTCCTCTGCGGGAGCCCAAGTCTCTCTTCTCTCCTCGTCCCCCTCCTCAAGGCTGGACTGACCCTGTTCTCTCCTCAGTGTACTTCTGGGACCAGGCGGAGGAGGGGAGCCTGGGGACACTGCTCAACTCAGAGGAACAAATACTCAACTCCATGTTCGAAGCTTGTGACCCCCAGAGGACAGGTGGGAGGGGCAGGATGGGGCCTGGGGAGCACTGGGTGTGGGAAAGACAAGAGACAATAAGGGGCAGCAGTGGGGGCTGGGAACTGGGGAGCCGTAGAGAGAAGCATGGGTTAGGGCCCTTCCGGCGGGTCCTGCAAGACAAGTGAGTGATTGTGGGAAGCTTTAGGAAGAAAGTGGATAAGGTGATGGAGGCCTTGCACGTGAGGACAGTGAGGGGAGGAAAACTTGGGGGACATTAATGGAAGAAGGTAAGGCTTTGGGCTGGGAGAGGGAAGGAGGGCAGCCACTATGGGCCTGGCGGGGCACAGCCTGTCTTCTTCCCTCCGAGGTGAGGATGGCTGGGCCCCCATTTGCAGGTGAAAAAGTAGACTCAGAGGCGGGGAAAGGACTTGCTCAAGTTGGCTCAGCCAGGCTGTGGTGTAGGAGTGCCACCAGCCGAGCTAGTGATGTCCTACCTAATGTCCCCAACTCTCACCTCCCAACTTGTCCCACATCCCTCACGGCATGCTCTGTCCCCAGGCTTTGTGGCTGTGACCCACATACTAGCCTACCTGGAGGCTATGACAGGACGGAGCCCCCGGGATGCACGGCTTCAAACACTGGCCCGCAGCCTGGACCCCAACGGAGAGGGCCCGCAGGCCACCGTGGACTTAGACACCTTCCTGGTCGTCATGCGGGACTGGATCGCTGCCTGTCAGCTAGATGGGTGTGTCCTTGTACCTCCACCCTCCCCCAGAAGTCCTTCCTAAAATCTAACCTCATACCCGCTCACTGCAGCCAGCACCCTTTGGGCACAGGGATCCCCTGTGTTTGAAGGAGGCGGAGGAGAGAGAAAGTAAAGCGATGGGGTTGGAGGAAGGGTGGAGGGTCTGAGGACGAGGTGCCTTGGATGAGGAGGTGAAGGGGATCTGGGAGACAGAAAGAAAAGGGGCTGCAAGGAGAAGGGAGGATGATGGGGGGCCGACAGAGGCCCCTCCCCATCCCTTCTCCAGTCCCAGCCGTCGCCCCTCCCGCTTTTCCATCTGGCCGCTGCGCTTGCCATCTGGCCTCACCTTCCTCCCCACCGTGTTTGCTCTCACCTAACCTGGCCCCTCCTCCGCCACTGCCACCCGCAATCCCCCTGCTGGTGGCTGATCAGGGTTCAGGGGTGGCTGCAGGGGGCTCTAAGCCTCATCCCTTTGATACAGAGGATTAGAGCTAGAAGAGGAGACCGCCTTCGAGGGGGCCCTGACCCCCCAGCAACTGCCATCTGGTGAGATTGCTATATATAGAATGAAGCAGGCTGGCCCAGGGGCAGACAGCGGGGGGACTTCCCACCTGGCAACAGAGCAGGGGATAGAGGAGGACCCCAGGGACCTTTGCTCTAGCCTGGAGCTATGAGTTTGGCTTTCTAGGCACCTCCATGATGGCCTCCCCACTTTCCCTGAGCTCTGGGGGTTTTGTTCTTCACGGGTTGTTTCCAACGCCTCCTCCTAACACCAGCCCTATTATAGAGAGTCCCCTCCCACCTCTCCTCAGCGTCATTGTCATCCAGCAGCTCCCCACTACTCTCTGGTTCCTGCATTCAAAGTCTCTCTCGCTCCCTTCCTTCCTCTCTCTCTCTCCTGGGTTACCCACCTGCCCACCCCAGTCTGTGCTCAGACTGTTTTCCCAGCCTCGACTTTCCACACCTTCCTCCTCCGGCACACCTGGGGAAGCCCTGCAGGGGGGCGGCACGGAGTAGGGGGTGCTGGGACGCCCCAGGCTACTAATCTTGCTCTCCACACTCACCGCACTCACCGCACTCACACACTCAGACCACGTTCCTTTCCTGCAGAAATCCGATTATCCCCTCAGTTGCCTGCCCTGCTGTTTGGTTAGTTGATTTGCTCACTGTTTCCCTAGGACCTCACACACAGGAGGTGCTCCATAAACAAGGGTTTGAGTGACATTTCTCCAGCCTATATGAAAGCAAATAAAATAGAGCTTTCTTGACATTCTTTGAGCCTCTTCCACTCGGCTTGGGGCCGAGGGTGGGCTGTGAGCAGGGGAGGGACAGGTCAGCTCTGGGTGAGGAAAGAGCCCTCTGAGTGCGAGAGGGCAGAAGGGAGAGGCTGGAGGCCAGGAGGCCGGGGAAGAGGCTGTGGTGAGGGTCCAAGGGGAGAGAGCAAGGCCAGAGCCAGGATAGGGCCTGGGGACAGATGGCAGGGTGGAGCAGAGAGTCAGGGAGAAGGGGAACAGGGCCTGGGCTCTGCTAGGCTGTGGGGTGAGGTGGAGTGAGGGATCCAGGTGGCGAGTGGCAGGGGTGAGGACTGGGAGGAGGAACAGGTTTGGAGGCAGTTGAGGTGCTGCCCAGTGTCGGGCGTGGAAGTTAGGAGGTTATGGAGAGATCCAACCTGAGCTCAAGGTACTTTCCAATGGTGGGCGCCGCTGCAGCCCCAAGAGCAGATGGGATCGCCCAGAGCGAATGTGAGGATGGAGGAGGCCAGAGGAGGACCGAGCCCTGCATCCTGGGGCACCGCCTGAGGTCACCCGGAGCCGAACACCATCTGTCTGTCTCCCTCCAGGATGCCCAGAGGAGCCGGCCAACCTGGAGAGCTTTGGAGGCGAAGACCCCAGGCCTGAGCTGTACCTATCCTGGGCCCCTCCCTGCCCTTCCCCTGCCCCGAGTCCTCTAGCCTGCCAGGGGCGTGGCTAGGGTTTGGGGTCCTTCGGGAGCGGGTGAGGGGCAAGGGCTGTGCTAACAGCTCAGGGAGAGCAGAGCAGTCTCTCCTGTTCCTCTTCCTCCAGAAGAGCTCGTTCGCCCACCACCCTCACCACCTACCCTCCACCAGGGAAAGGAGGCTGGGGCTGTGGGTGCTGACCCGGGCCCTTCCCGCTCCCAGGCCCGCCACAGCTGATCTGCTGAGCAGCCTGGAGGACTTGGAGCTCAGCAACCGCAGGCTGGCCGGGGAGAACGCCAAACTGCAGCGCAGCGTGGAGACTGCCGAGGAGGGCTCTGCGCGCCTCGGGGAGGAGATCGCAGCCCTGCGCAAGCAGCTTCGCAGGTGGGCCGGCCCACGTCCACCCTCCGGGCCCCGTGTCCCCCCGTCCCTCCTGACCGCAGCTCCAGCCTCCCTCTGCTCTCTCTCTCTGCACCTCCTGCTCCGCGTCTGTGAGCCCACACCTGCCCTTTCTTCGTTTCCTCTTTCTGTCTTTTATCTTTATCTTGTGTGTCTCCCCGGTTCTTGTCTCTCAGCCCCCAGGGTTCAGCCTTCTCTCTTTCTTCTTCCCTCTCTGATTGTCCATCTCAGCGGCCTGTTCCTTTCCCTGTGCTCTGTCTTCTTCATATCTGTCCTGTTCTCCCTATTTCAGGTAGAAACTTGGTCTCTGTCCTCCATAGTTGGTTCTTCCCCCCTTTTTCTCTGAGTCTCTGTCCCCCTCTCTCTGGTCTCCATCCCCCTCCCTTTGGTCTCTGTCCCCCTCTCTGGTCTCTGTCTCCCTGTGTCTCTAGGTCTGTCTGGGATTTCTCTGTTATTTCTGTCCCTCTGAGTGAATCTGTCTCTGTGGTCGCTGTCTTCCTCGCTCTCATGGCCCTCCTGGCCCTGCCCCTACCAGCACCCAGCAGGCTCTGCAGTTTGCCAAGGCTGTGGATGAAGAGCTGGAAGACCTGAAGAGTCTGGCCAAGAGCCTGGAGGAACAGAACCGCAGCCTTCTGGCCCAGGCCCGGCAGACAGTAGGTTCTGGGCAAGGGGCTCAAAGGTGCCGTCTGAGCAACAGAGCTTAAGGACTGGGAAGGGGCAGAGGTCACCCCCACCTTCCTCCCTCACTCCAGGTCCTGCTCACCCCAGACTTTGAGGCCAGATCTGTTTTCCATCTCTCTCATGACAAAGGGGACAACAGGAGTCATCAAGGCTCCCCAGACCCATTTCCCCAGCCCTGCTCCTCAAAGACCCAGGCCCAAGTTATGTTCCCAGGGGTGGGAGAAGGGCAATATGGGGACAAAGAGGCCAGAAAAGAAACCTTTGTTCTCTCTGGGGTTTTTCAGGAAAAGGAGCAGCAGCATCTGGTGGCTGAGATAGAGACTCTGCAGAAGGAGGTGAGCTGAGGCCCAGCACCCACCCTTACCCCCTCTCCCAGTCCTTAGGATCTTCTCACCCTACCCTTGCAAGCCCAAACACCCCCAGCAGCCGGTGACCAAACATCCTTCGGTTTGGTGAGGGAGACCCCAGAATCCCAATAATGTGTGAATGTCCCTGAGTCACATTGCTGCGTGTAAGAACTGCCATAGTTGGTAGTGTGGGCCATGGAACGGACTGCCTGGGTTCACGCTGTGGCTGCCTACAGAAGCATGCATCCGTCTGTCCCCTTTCTGTGCCTCAGCGTCCTCACTGTAAAAATGGGCAAAATAATAGAATCTCCCTCATTGGGTTTTATGAGATTTAAACAGAGGATGCTTGTAAAACCTTAGACACAAGGCAGGACACATGAGAAGCGCTCGCTAAAAGTTAGCTAGTGCTGTTCATGTATTAGTGGGTTTTTTTTATGGTGGAAAGAACACAGGCCTTGAAGTCAGCCTTGAGTTCAGATTCTCTCTCTGCCACTTACATGACAGGCAAACTTTAGTCATGTGACTGCCTTTTCCCGAACCTTAGTTTTATTCACTAAGAATGAGGGAAAAGTGTATCTGCTCAACAGGGTTATTGTGGGACTCGAATGACAGCTTTTAGCCCGGGGCCTAGAACCTAATATAAACAGACCCACTTCAACCTCATTGTCTGCTTCAAGCTCCGTTCTGCGACAGAAAACATCATCTGCGTTAATTCTGGGTCCATCTAGTCCTTTTCGGTGGAAACTAAAACTCATCGATTAATGATGAAACACATCACCATCCCCCCACAAGGTGGCATCTAAGTTGCTGGAGACTCATGCAGCACTTAGTGCTCCAGGAGGCTGCGGTCCTCGCTCAACATCTGTTCTCTCTGTTGGTCACAAGATTGATGTTCATCATCCCATCTGGTCCTTGGCCTTAGTCACCACTGCGTGCCGGCATCCACCGGGAGATTGGCATTATCTTCTGGTCTCTAGACATATAGTCCTCAATGCATCTGCTGGTGGTGGCCCTTGTCTGGACCTCACAATCTGTGAAGGCCACTGGGGCTCTCGCTCGGCCACTCCCACACCCTTCTAGGGGCACAGAGGAGGTTTAGCTGCTTTCCTGTGACTCTGTGGCCACTGGGGCCTCACTGGGCCCTCTCTGCCTCAACTTCTAACATAGCCGTCTCTATGCTGTTATTCACCATCTTGCGGGTTCTGCCACTGAGGTGGGAAATGCCCCTCAGATTCCCAGACACCCCAGGGATTCCATGGTTCAAGTGCATCCATCCTTACCTCCCTTCACAGCTGACCCATTGCCTTGTCTTTCGACTTCCCTACTCCCCTCCTCCAGCCTAAGGATCTCTGCCCCGATACTGGTTCTGCCTGATTCCCCTTGTCTCATATCTGCATTGTGGCTTTTCCATTTAAATCCAGAACTTTTCCACTGTTGTGCTCTGGCTCTTCCATGAAAAGTCCCTCCCTTGGGGCTATGGGAATCTCTCTGCAGGATGGCTGCCACAGTGTGAAGCACAGGGTACAGACAGGAGGTGACCGTTTCTTTCAGAACTACTCTTTTTAAGAACAAGGGGAAACTTTCCCTAAAGCCCCGTGGTAGAACCTCCCTCTCATGCCTCATTGGTCAAAGTGGCAGATGACTATAGCCACCACTCCCTGGCATGGGTAACACAGCCACCGATGTGTCCCGGATAATTTCAGCTCCAAGGAAGAGAACACCGAAGAACTGGCAGCTTCAACCTGAAGGACACTCATTTCTTTAACAAGAGGTTTTGAAGGTCTCTGGGTTGGTTTGGTGGCTCTTTGGCTTGTTTGTCTGCTTGTGGCCTCGTGATCACAGGTGGCTGCAATAGCTCCTGACCTCATGTTCTCATCAAAGCCGGATAAAGAGGGGTGAAGAGGCCCAGCAAATGCTCCTCTCTGGCTCTCTCTTTTCCAGGAGCTCCCCCACTCCACCCTGCCCCCAGCAGGCCTCTCTTGTGTCTCACCGGCCAGACTGTGTCACGTGACACCTCCAGCCGCAAGAGGGGCGGGGAGAACATCCTCAGCCTCTAGAGAGAGTGGCTGCTGGGTTAGCTGACCAGCTGGTCTCCCGAATCTGCCAGTATTTCCATCATGAATCACACCCCCCAGGGCTGGGGCTGGGACCCACCTGCCCGCATGGAGAGAGGACCCCCAAAGAAAGCAGGAGGAATAAGGGCAAATGGCAGCCGGCGGTCTCTGCCTCCTTCTGGCCCAGAAGGCCTGCTGCCAGGTCAAGCGCCTTGGGCAGTGCCTGGAATGTCCTAGGCGCTCAATAATTGGAGCTATTCTCGGATCCCTCCCCTCCACCTTTTCTCTCGCTGCCAGCTGCCTACAGAGCATCTATAGATTGAGTTCTCAAGTTACAGTCGAATAGTGCTCGAGTAAGGGACACTCAGACACTCAGCTTTCCTGAGGAGACCTTACAGGGCGGGGCTCACGTTACTGCAGGAGGCAGGGGTGGCTGAGTAACCCGGTTCCCTGCCGAGTTGTCCAGGATCCAGCCTGCGAGTCCTGACCAGGTGGACAGATGTCGACACAGCATTCCTGGCCGTCCTTCCTCCGCCCTTCACCTTGCAGTCCAAGCCTACCGAGGCTGAGAGGGTGGAAGGCAGCTGATGGAGGACCTGGAGCCAAGCCAGGCTGGAAAGGAGGAGCTGGCCTTGGTATCCCCAGGGGCACCAGGAGGAGGGACATGGCAGGGGACTGCTGCCGTGCTCCAAAATGCTTTCCCCCGTGACTGCCTCACATGGAAACTCCGTGCAACTTGCAAGGTTTTTGGTCACCAGAAAGTCTAGACTGAAATTTGGGCCATTTTATTCTGATGTCCCATTTCGTGACCGGCCCCGCCCACTGCCCTCTCCCGGACTCCTTGTTTTTCCCAGTGACGCTTCTTACCCTTGAGGACTCAGCCCTGGCACTGCCTCCTCAGGAAGCCCCTCTTCTGGGCTCCCACAGAGCCCAGGCCCTGGTCCTCATCAGAGGCCTCTTCACACGTCGTCGTCTTCAGCTCGGTCTCCACCTCTAGTGAGGAGCTTCTTGGGGCGACGGCCGAAGCTGGTTCCTCATTCTTACCGAGGGCCGTGACTGGCTCAGAGGAGAGTCTAGGGGTTATAAGCCCAGGATTCGGAAGCAGATTTGCGTTTGAGCCCACTTGCAGTGTGAACTTGACCAGGTTTCTAACCTCTCTGCTTCTCAGTTTCCTCTGTAAGGCTGGGGATGATGACAGTAGAAACAGTGCTAGGACAGCCAGGTGTCACAGTCTCCATGAATGGCGTGCTGTGATGTTCACGAAGTCTGCCTGCCAGAAAGTTGAACAAGAGTCTGGACAAGGCCCTGGATCTTCCCACCAGTTTACAGGAAATAAAGAAGGTGCAGGAACATGGCGAACGTCACAGAGAAAGAGAACACAATAAACCAAACCCAAGGGCACCGATTCTGCAGGACAAATAACCCAGTTTCTTCCACGAAAGAAGGGCCCTGAAAAGTGCCAGGGTTAAGAGGTGGCAGATCACTGTCAGACAGAAAGAAATGAGACATTTCAACCAAGCGCCTGTGGACCTGTTTAGATCCTCATTCAAATAAACTAAATGTGAAAGGCATTCGGGAGACAACCGAAATGAAAAAAAGCACACGAATTGGGTGTGAGACGATACTAAGGAATTATTAATTTTGTTAAAGGCGATATTGGTGTTGGGGTTTTGCTAAAGGAAAGGTCCTCAGGAGATGAAAATGCTGGAGTCGTTACAGGTGGAAGAATATGATGCCTGGGATTTGCTTTAAAAGAATCCAGTTAAACACAAACAAACAAACAAACAAACAAAACACCCAGAGGATAGAGAAGAAACAAACTGGGAAACTTTATAATTGAAGCTTCGTGACAGGTATTGAGTGTTCGCTGTACTGTTATTTCTATTTTCGTGCTTGTTAAAAAATTCTTAATCTAAAGTTTTAAAAAATATTTTTAATGTAACATTCCCGGAACGTTTGGTATATGTCAGGCACTGTTCTAAATGCTTTTTGCTTATCAACGTATACTAACATATATTGGCATGAACCACCACCTCTATGACCTGGGGCAAGCAACTCGACCTTCCTGTGCCTGAGTTGCCTTTATCTTTAAAGTCAGGGATAAGAAATGACTTAACACATGCCAGATGCTCGGTAACTATTAGCAGTTACTATTAGCTCACTTAATCCTCACAGCAGCCCCATGAATAGGTCCTATCTTCATTTTTACGGATGGGGGACCGACTGATGCACAGAGAAATCAAAGCTGAGACTCCATAGGATGGTTGGAGGGGTTACGTGGGCTAAAGTGCTTGGCATGAGGCCTGATGCACATCAAGTGTCGGCAAACATCAGCTGTGAATATTAACATCGCCGTTTGCTGAAACGAACATGACTGGCCATTCCTCTTTCCAGAATGGGAAGCTGCTGGCTGAGCGGGATGGAGTAAAGAGGAGGACTGAGGAGCTGGCCATGGAGAAGGATGCTTTGAAGGTGCCACCCCTCCCACGTGCCTTGACAACTTCCCAACACCCCCGCGGCCATTTTTACCTCTCCAGTTTTAGCCACAACGACCTGGTGAGAGCCAGGCAGCTTGGCCAAAATCTCTCAGTGTAGTTAATGTCTTGAGACATTAGAGGAAGGTTAAGAAGAGGGACTCAGGAGTGGGCAGACCCGGGGAGGGCAGGGTGGAGGCGGGTCCTAGGAGGCAGGACAGATGGACAGGCTCCTTCCTTGGCAGCGGCAGCTCTACGAGTGTGAACGCCTCATTTGCCAACGTGACGCCGACCTCTCTGAGGTAAGGGGGCCGGGGGCGTGTGTGACGTTTGCTCTCACGTGCACCTGCCAGCCTCAAGTCCTGCCTGGCTCTAATCCTTGCATAAGCAAGCAGCCCACAGAGGTCAGAGGTCACAAGCCTGACCCTGCAAGATCTGGAAACCCGCTACTTCCCACTGGCCATAGCCCTTCCCCCAAGCTCGCCCCATCCCCGCTCCCAGCCTCAGTCTCTCCTCCCAGCCTGGCCCAGGCTCAGTCAGCTTTGGGCTTTCCCAGCGCACTTGCCACGCGGAGAGTCTGGCGAAGACTTTGGAAGAGTACAAGACAACGACGCAGGTAACCCCTCACCCTCGCTCGCCCTCCGCGGCCCCCCGCCTGGCCTTGCTCTCCCCACTTGTCTATTGCCACCTCCAAGATTGACTGCCTCTTTCGGCCTCTGCTTACTTCTTCCGTCTCCGCTGTCTGCGTTCTCCCTCGCTTTCCATCTCTGCCTGCTGCTTCTCTTTTTCTCCATTTCTTCCCTTCTCTGTGGATCTCTGTTTTCCATTCACTTCCACTCTCTGTGGCTGTCTTCTCACCGCATGTCCCCTCCTCATCTCTCTGTGTGGCCGCTGGCTCATGTAAGTTCTGTCTCAGGCCCTCTCTGGACCTAGTCTGTCTGCCAGGGCGACTGCTCTCTCTGCCCTTGGTCTTAATGAGTTTCTTACACCTCGTGCATCTCTTGCTTTTCTGTGAACGTGGCTCGTTGTCCTGTGCGTCTCCGTCTCCGCCTTCCTTTTAATTTTCCTGGCTGGTAGGTTACCTTCTGGGTTCCCGCTGCTCTCTGTCTCTCTTTGGCCTCCTAAGCTTCTGTCAATGCTTTCTTCCCTGTGTCCCTTGTGTCTGGAAGAGCCCAAAGAAGTCTGGGGAATGGAATTGACCTTGGAAGAGGATCCCAGGGGTGGAAGATGGGGAAGAACAGAGAGCCAGGTGTCCCCCACTTCTTCCTTTGCAGGAACTGAGACTGGAAATCTCACACCTGGAGGAGCAGCTGAGTCAGACTCATGAGAGACCAGAAGAGTGAGTGGAACATCGGGGGTAGAGGAGGCAGGAAGGGAGCCCAAGGGCAGAGACCCTCAGCCTCCAGCCCCAAGGCAGGCAGGGCGGCAACCCCAGCATCAGCCGACTGACAGGTGGTGGGCAGCCACGGAGGCAACCTTCCCCCTCCTGACTGTGTGGCCAGGATACCCGAAGGGGCTCAGGCAAGAAGAGTGGACTGGACCAAGCTGCCGTCCCCATCACTGGGCATGGAGATCCAGGCCATTCAGCAGGTGGGCCTGGCACTGGCCAAACGCCCCAACCCACTGCCAGCTACACCTCTGACCCAGCCCTCTCACCCTACCCTGTTCCCCACAAGAACCGTCAGTCCCTAACCTCATCCCTAATCCACTCCTTGGTCCTGGCACCAGCCCCTTCCTGGGTCCTGCCTTCACCCACTTCCCAGCCTAGCCTCACACCAGCTCCCTCCACTCCCATCCCCACACCTCAGCCATCTCTGACCTGTCTTCTGCCTTAATCTGGCCTTCCCTGATCTCAGAAACAACTTCTCCTCTCTCAGAAACAAGAAGTGGCAGCTGCCGATCTCTCCAGCCCTCTTTGTGGAGTGTGGCGGTGGGAGGAAGGCGTCAAGGAAAGTTATGAGGAAGCTGAGTTTCTACCTGAAGCCCCGACTGAGGGACAGGTGAGCACAGGAGGGGCTCTGAGACCACGGAGTCCAGAGCTGACAAAGGGGCCCAGGACGCCATGCGCCTGTGCTGTTCCCCATTCAATAGGTAGATGGTGACTGAGGGACCACTGGTTGCTGGACACGGAGCCCAAGCCAGATGGGACACCATCCCTGCCCTCTAGGGACTGGCCTGCTAGTGTGGTAGACAAACGCGAAGAAAGCAAACATGCAAATTCCTTTGTGGTCGTTACCCTTGCTGTTTAGGAAACACTGGCCGAAATCACTTCATTTCATATGGTTCTACCTCGGAAAGCAAATTGTTCTCTCCGATGCCATAAAGACACATTAAGCATTTACCTTTGAATACAACGCACCTTTAAGAAAAGCTTAGCAAACCCACAATGAAATCTCGAACTCAACAATAGCCATTCTTTATGACTTCTGTAATTACCTGAACAATAGTATTACACCGTTTGAAATAACTGAGGCAACTCATCTTGAGTGTCCACAACTAAAAAGTGGGATGTTAATCTATCCGTGCCAGAAGAATTTTTTAAGAAAATAATGTTAACAGCTCTATAAACACCTCTGTACTGTCTTGAAATCTATCCCGCTTCAAGGCTGTTCTCCCTCTTTAAAGGAGAAATTCATTTCTTGGCCCACTTTTTCCACGGCTGAGAGAGAAGCAGCTGTGTTTTCCTTTGACCTGAGCGCCCTTGTTAGATTTCTCATTTACCGCTCCCGGATTCTCCATGAGGTCGGCTTCCTCATCCCTTATCCTCTTACTCAGGGAAGCGGAGGTTCTGAGAGAGATCACATGTCCACGGTCACACAGAGCTGCAGCCCTCAGAGCGAGTGAGCTTCGGCTGGGAGCTCGCACACACGCCGTCCAGGGGCAGACCGACCCAGGCCTCAGGCTGCTGCCTGCACTGGGTCCGGGGGAGATAGAGCAGTCACTTGGGGCCCAGGGTCCTGAGCACTCGAGGCCTGGTGGGGAGACCATGCCAACGGGCCATCCCAGTGCAGGACGATCGGTGTGCTGGAGGTGGCCGGCGGGCCTGTGGGAGTCCAGAGAAGGGGGTACCTGTGTCAGATAGGAGATTGGAAGAGATATCATGGGGAAACTGACATTTGAGTTTATTTCGAAGAAAAAACGAGGTATGAGGAAAGAGCAGCCCTTCAGGCAGCGGGGCACGCAATTGAATACCTTTGGGGAGTGGGGGGCTATGGGGTGATAGTGAGAGATGAGCCTGGGGCCAGATCTTGGAAGGAATCCCCTGTCAGTCGGGCTGAGAGATTGTACTTTCCTCCATCAAGCCACAGGAGGACTGTGAGCAGGGACAGGGAGGGACAACTCGAGATGTGAAAACTCCCTCTGGGTCCACGTGAGGACTGACTGGAGGCTGTATGACCAGGGAGGAGGCTGAGGCAGTGGCCCAGAGGGGGAGGATGAAGCCTGAGCCAGGCCGGGGCCTTTAGCTGGAGGAAAAGGGATGGACGGAGAGAATCAGGGCGGGGAGACGGAGCTGCAGACAGATGCTGTGGTGTGGGGTGATGGGAAGGGAGGAGAAGCGGGAAGAGTGCTGAACGTACCTTATGATGTTCCGAAGTGAGGGCCCTGAGGGACATGGTGGGGACAGGTGGGCTGCCCAGGGGCAGTGGTTGCACAAAACTGGAACTCACAGATGCATTTAGACAACTGTCAAGTGCGTGGTTGAGGCCATACAATGAGATGTCTCTGGAGAAAACGGAGAGGAACCTGGGGGAGAGCAGATGGTGGGGCCTCCCCAAGACTAGGAACCTGGGGGGACAATGGGGTTCAAAAGAGAAATGCTGAGACCCTCTTGGGCCCAGGTGAACATGAGAGGCTGTGGGGGTGTGGGAAGTTTGGGGTCCTTAGAAAGGGGCTTGGTGGGGTCCCGAACAACGGTTGGGTTTCCTGCTTCTGCTCCCGAGGACAGTGCCCAAGAGGAGGGCAGGCTTCAGAAGAAGGGGGTGAATTCTTTAGATGCTGCAGCCCTAACTTTTTCTTCCCCACAGAGAAACTTCCAGGGAGAGCCAAGGCACCCTCAAGAAGGAAGGAAGGAGCGATCGATGTGGTAAGATGCTTGCCCCTCCCGGAGCCATCCCCCTGACCCGGGGTGACACCCAATTCTCAGATGGGTGGGCTGTGAGGGCTGAAGGGCCCAGAAGGACCCTCGCATAATCATTCACTCATTTGTTCATGCTGAAGTGACCCTGGGCCTGTGGGCCAGGATGAGTCAGACCCAGCTAAGGGGGAGACAGCCCTTGAGCCAGATAGTTCTCGAAGACATCTGGAACCTGAGCCCAAGCGGGGGGCTTCCCAGAGTATCGATGTCTGAATGGGTCTTGTAGGAGTGGTATTCGTATGACCGGAAGACAGTTGTCAGGCAGATGGGACAGCTCCGCTACACAGTCACTCTCACTGAACACACTTACCCGAGGCCTCCAGGAACCCCTGGGGTGAATGAGACCCAGACTGGGCCCCTGGAGAGCACCCAGGCAGTGGGGAGATCAGGGGGCTCTGGAATCAGACAGCCCAGCTTCGAATCCCTGCTCAGCTCATTTGCCATAGTCGGCAGGTGCAATGCCTTGGAGCGCCCGCCTGGTTGTTATGAGGCTCCATGCAGGCCGCTGAGGACAGAGAAAGCACTAGGTGTCTGGGCCCACCCTCCTTGGGGCCCTGGCCTCGGGCCTCTGGTTTCCTGTGGGGCGTCATTCTCCCCCTCCCCTCCCGGCTGCAGCTTCTAATGAGGCTGTCTGCCATGGCCTCTAATTGGACTTGTCTGGGAAAGATGAGGTTGGGCGGGATGGGGGCTTCGAGCTGTGACCTCCTCTCAGTCACCAGGAAATGGCGAGGAGAAGGGACTGAGCTGCAAGGGGGGTGGGGCCTGGCATCCAAGTTTGCAGGGATTGGGGGCGCAGGGGCAATATGATGCAGATCGGGGAGCTGGGAGTGAGGGAGGTAGTGAACCCTGTGGCCCTTGAGGGCCGAGGGCTTGGACCGTGAGATGGCCTGGATGCCTTCTAAGGTGCTAGCTGAGGGAGGAGCTGTGTCCCAAGGGTGTCGGGTCTGAAGCCAGAAGGCTGGGTCCTGGGTCCCTGTGAAGGTGGGAGTCAGTGGCGTGGACTTCTGGGTCTCCAGGGCGCATCTGGGTTGGGCACCTTGAGGCCTGAATTCCTAACAAGGCATTTCGGGGGCTCAGGCAGCTGTGACCCTAGGAGGGTCAGAGGTCAGAGGTTCACACCCCTAAGCAGTGATTTCAGATGAGGGCGGGGCTCACGCAGTTGGATTCTGGAGTCTGAGTCCTGAAAGAAGACCCAGTAAGACTGAGACTCACAGGAGGGGGAGCAGCGCAGCAGGCAGGGCGTGGGAGCGGGGTCCACACCGGCCCTGGTGTTCGAGGAGTGAGAGGAGTGAGGCCTCAGCTTCCGGCTGGAGCATCAGCTGGAAAAGTAGCAGATGAGAAAGCAAGTGAGATGAAGAGACTCTCTGACCCTTTCTGAGGTCACTGCCTTTTTTGAGTCTGGACCCCCAGGTCTATCTAGGGCTCCAGGACACCCCCTAGGTCCATCCATGGTGCCTGTTCCACGCTAAGATCTCAGCTTTAAAGGGTCCCCCAGCCCCTCGTCGGGCGAATGGGAGCCGGGCAGAGGAAAGGTACTCGCGGTGACGATGTTGTTGCCCCAGGTTGCCCAGAAGAGAGGACAAGGCAGAAGAGGAGACCCAGGTCATGGTAGGCAGTCCCCAGCATCCCTCCCCGGTCCCCATCCACGCCAGGCCTCGGAGGGGTTGATGTCATCGCAGCTCCTCTCCAGTTCCCACCCACACTCCCACTGCTCCTGAGCTGACAGAAAAATCGTTTGGCCAAGAGATAACAAGGCCCTCGCTGTAGCTAATGAGAGCCGATGGTGCTGTGGGGGGAGGCCTGCGGGCCAGTGGGCGGCCAGAATGTTCCCAGGGGACCCCCCCCAAGCACACAGAGGTCTGCGGCCGCCGCACCGCACAGACATGGCTACACCCCCGGATTACGAAAATGAATACGCACACGCTCCCACACACAGGAAGGGGCCGGGCCCTCCCCATCCAGCCTCAGAACTCCCCCAGGGCACAGCACCCGTGACAACTCCCTTGCCCAGCTCCACACACATTGGGTCCTTTGCTCCTCAAACTGGCAGGTGATGCTCCCTATTCTCAGGTAAGGACAGGGAGGGAAGGATCTGTGGTGAGTGAGGAGCCTGCAGCCCTCAGCCAAAGACCGTGAGAACCCAAGTGCGCCAGGCTCTGTTCCATTCACCTGGGACCCCTCGGGGTTCACGCCACCCACGATGGTCTCTGTGAGAAGCCTGGCCCCAAAGCCCGCAGCTCCTCTCCAGTTCCCACCCACACTCCCACTGCTCCTGAGCTGACAGAAAAATCGTTTGGCCAAGAGATAACAAGGCCCTCGCTGTAGCTAATGAGAGCCGATGGTGCTGTGGGGGGAGGCCTGCGGGCCAGTGGGCGGCCAGAATGTTCCCAGGGGACCCCCCCCAAGCACACAGAGGTCTGCGGCCGCCGCACCGCACAGACATGGCTACACCCCCGGATTACGAAAATGAATACGCACACGCTCCCACACACAGGAAGGGGCCGGGCCCTCCCCATCCAGCCTCAGAACTCCCCCAGGGCACAGCACCCGTGACAACTCCCTTGCCCAGCTCCACACACATTGGGTCCTTTGCTCCTCAAACTGACAGGTGATGCTCCCTATTCTCAGGTAAGGACAGGGAGGGAAGGATCTGTGGTGAGGAGCCTGCAGCCCTCAGCCAAGGACCGTGAGAACCCAAGTGCGCCAGGCTCTGTTCCATTCACCTGGGACCCCTCGGGGTTCACGCCACCCACGATGGTCTCTGTGAGAAGCCTGGCCCCAAAGCCCACCTCCTTCCTGCCACCCCACACCCCTTCCGTGGGGCCTGGGCCCCACCTCCAGTTCCTCACTGCTGGTTTGGTGATGCTCTTTACCCAGCTCCAGGGTGGGAATGATAGCTGAGGATCATGTTGTAAAGGGCCTGGTCCCATGCCTGACATAGCTGGCATGCAGTAGGTGGTGGTGGCAAGGGTGGTGGCTAGGACTGGTGTCCCGTTATTTTTTATTTTTAATTGTGTTTTTATTGCCACTGGGTACTTCCAGAATCCAATGGAGGTGGAAATAATCGTATCGAATATCTCATAGTTATTGAGCACTCACTGCATGCCGGGCACTGTTCTGAGCCCCGCCCCTTTTTTGCTTTTTACTGGCGTTCACTCAGTCTCCACTTCAGCCCTGTGAGGTGGGTACCGTCATTGTCCCTGTCCTGCAGGGAAAAGTGGGGCATGGCGAGATTGGTGACATGCCAAAGGACACACAGCTGAGGCTGGCAGAGCTGGGACCCCAACCCAGCAGTGTGTCTCAGGGAAGCTCACGTAATGAGCCACTCGCTGTGCTCCCCCCTCTTCCATGTGGTCGCTTCTGTCCAGTGAGCTGAACTGAGACTGTCTCTCAACCCAGGACCCAGTGTCTCACATTCATCTTCTCCTCCGTCCTTCCAGGCCGAACTCCCTATCCCTCTGGGAGACTCTCACCCCAGAGACATTTCAGGAAGTTCTCCTGAGAGGTAACGGGATCCACGGGGACCGGGAGGGGACTCAAGGGCAGAGAAAAGCATCCAGTGCGATGACCTTGCCCTCTCTCCAGCAGCCCTGCCAGCTCTGACCCGCAGCAAGCCCTGGTGCCTGTGGAGAAGGAGCTGGTCCCAGTCAGGAGGCCAGGCTGGGGCCAGCTCTGCCTGTGCCCCCTGCACCCCCAGCAGCTCAGGTGAGCCCCAAGCCTTCTCCCAAACCGGGGTGGTGGTCAGACATCAGGGCACACAGGCTCCCTTGGGCCCTGCCCTGAGCACTGTCTCACCGCCCCCACCAGGGTCGCTCAGCACCCGCTGATTCCGGCACCAGTCTTGGGCCTGCTGCTGCTGCTGCTGCTCTTTATCCTGCTTCTGGGCCAGTCCCCACCCCCCACCTGGCCCCACCTCCAGCTCTGCTACCTCCAGCCCCCACCGGTGTGAGCCGTGCTCCCCACCCCTCAGCGCAATGTCTAGTTCAGTGAATTCCTCTTTCTACTGTCATTCCTATTGTTCTGGCACTGTTAACTGGGAGGACCCCAGTACCAGAACCCCAGATACTGTACTTCAGGATCCACACCCCTATATGGGGTCTTTCTGTGAAGTCTCTTGGTTTTTTAATGTTGGCGACTATATTTCTTAACAATTGAAAAATGAGCCCAATGATGGATTAAGCACTAGGGGTTTATTTTCCTCACAAAACAAGCCTGGAGGAAAATGGCTGTGGGTCCACAGCTCAGAGTCTCTGCAGCCTCACGGTGAGCGTGCTATGATCCTATGTGATCTTCTTGGCCTTTCTCTCATGCTCAGGGGGTGGGGGGCATTTTAGCTTCGTAGCTCATATCTTCTGAGAGAAGGGGATGTGTCCCTTCTGTTTTTATAAAGAAAAGTCTTCTTTATAAGTGGCCTTTGCAGAGCCAGCAGCAGACCTGTGTTTATGTCTCATTGGCCAGACTGTTCGGTGTGATCACCCCAGCTGCAAAGGAGGCTGGGAGACTGAGCGCCTCTCCTGGTGGAAAGAGGGAAAAGGGATGTGGGCAAGAGATGTCCAATGGCCAGTGCAAATCAAATGGTCAGCAAGAAGTGGACCAGTGTACCATTTGTTCATTCAACAAATTTAATAATCACCTATTTGTCACAGCTAGCCCTTAGAGGAGAATGCTGTAGAGAAACAAGCCCTCCAATGCCAGGCAGAGAAATGTTGATTTTTCTCCCAAGGATGATGGGAGGTTTTATTGGTTGTTTTTGATTATTTATGTTTTAATTGAGGTGTAACTTACAGATAAATGGACGAATCTTAAGTATCAGCTGGATGAATTTTTGTAATATAAACACTCATGAAATCAAAACCCGGTCAAGATATAGGACAGTTTCAGCATCACAGAGGCTTCCTTGGGAGGGACAAATTCACACCAATTTAAAGACAAATAGTGATAGAGGCAGCTGCAGGCTCTGTGCGAGCCCCAAAAAAGACACCTAATCCAGTCTGGGAGGCGAGAGGTTTCTTGCCTGATAAGTGACTTCTGTGTTTAGTTTTGAAAGATGGGTAGGGTTGGTTACAGTGAGCAGGGGCCGAAGAGGGTGTCACTCGCAGAGGAAGCAAAGTATGTCTGAAGACCAGGTGGTACGAAAGAGCCTCTGTGTCTGTAGAGCCACAGGCAGCACTGTGTTGCTGGGATTTAAAAAAAAAAATGATTTGGAGCCAGGAAAGAATTTCAGGCTACAGAGTGGTGGAAAATAAGATGGAGAGGTGGGCAAGAGCTCACAAAGGGTTTTGAACACCAGCTTCAACTTTACCCTTAAGTGTCCAAGAAAGGCCTGTGAGCAGAGAAGGGACAGAATCAACTTCCGGTGGGGTGGGGGACAGACCTCTGAGCCTGTATAGAGGATGAACGGAGATGGGGAGAAAGTTGGGGCTGTGGTTCAGGTGGGAGGGGATGTGGTCTGAGCTGGGCCTGGTGTGTGGGTGGAGAGAAGGCAGAGCAGGAAGGGCGGAGCCAGGGACCCCACAGGCTATGAAGGCGGGTGAAGAGGGAAGGGGCGAGGTCGGCACCTGGGTCCGATCCAGTGACTGTGGAGCCATTCCCAAGATGGAGAACCCATGAGAAGGAGTGGGTTTGGGGGAACGCTCTGAGCTCATTCGGGAGCAGGTAAGTGTCAGGGTTCCAGGAGGTGGCTGGAGCCCTGAGCGATGAGGGTCTGGCAAGGGGGGTCTGGGTGTAATTGGCTGTAGATGGCGCTCAAAGCTGGAATTTCCTGGGGAGAGGGGAAGGAAGGGATTCTGGGCAGCATTTTGTGAAAAGGCCCAAACACCAGGCAGGGATCTAGGGAGGAAGTGGCGAATGGGAAGAGCACTGGCCAAGACCCGCTGCCGGGCCCTCCAGGGACGGGATTAGGCTCCTCACAGTGCTTAGGAAAGTGCCTGGCATAGAGCAACTGCTCGTAACATTATAGTCCCATTCCTCCATGGCAGTAGTAGAAAGGTTTAGACTTAGAAATGGCGGATTTGGGTTCCAGTTTTCCTTCTGACCTTTATTAAGGCTGGCAACTTGGGGAAATTACTCCTGACTTTCAGAGTCTTGTTTCTTTATTTGTAAAATTTGGCCAGCTCTTGATGGCTTTGAGGACCACAGTTGTTCATTATTCAGTACGCCTCCGAAAATGCAAATTATCGGAAAGCCTGCCAATCACCTAGCGCCGGCTCCGCCCCCTTCCCGCTCGCGGCCTCGCCCAGCTCAACCACCTCTAGACCAATCGGTGCGCGATCCGCACGAACTGCGACCCCGCGCGCGCGATTCAAAGCCCTCGGCGTCTCGTTGGAAGTAGGTTGCCATAGTCACCATTGAGGGGCGGGGCCGAAGGGCTGTCGGAGCCTCCCATGTCTCCTCGCCCCGCCCCATGCCTCCCGGAGCCTGGCGCCTGGTCCCCTCTCTCTTCCCGCCCCAACTTGCCGCCCCGATGGTATCCCAGGACGGGCGCGGTTGAAAAACTATGAAGAAACTGCTGGAGGCCCCTGCGAGAGAGAGGGACCCCTTTTCAATAAAAGCGTTTGGTTCGTGCCAGGCGATTCGCCGAAGTCCTCTCATAGCGTATGTGGTTTAATCCTCAAGTGAGGAAAAGGAGGCTCAGAGGTTAAGCCCTTTCCAATACCACACAGCTCGGCTTGGGCGAACCTGGTCTTTAATGGCAGGTGCATCTCACACCAGAGCCCCCGCGCTTCCCACTGCGCCCAGAGAGAAGGCGAGAAGCGATAAGAGAGTGGAAACGGAGAAATTCAGCGAAAATGAGAGCTGGAAGAGAGACGGAGATCCAAAGGAAGAAAGAAAAGGAAGACAGGAAGGAGTCGAGAAGAGAAAGAAGTGATTAAGAATGGAAGGAAGAATTGCAGAGGCCGAAAAAAGGTAGAGAGGAGACAGAGATTCCCAGGGGACCAGGAAGCCAGGAGGGTGAAAGAGAAGTACAAAAACTCAGAGGACAGACATCCGGAGAGCGCCAGAGACCCAGAGGAAGCAGACACCTGGGACGTTACTGAGAACCAGAGAGATGGAGACAGAAACGGCGGTGGGGTGGGAGCAGAGACACAGGGACAGAGGCAGAGACTAAGGACAGGACAGGTAGGGCGGGGGCGGGGGTAGAGCAGAAATCTGAGCGGAGGAATAAATAAACGGAGGTAAAGGTGATTTTTTAAAGGAGAGACAAGAGAGGATTGAGGGGCGAGACGCCAGAGCAGCGGGTGCTGCGCCCGCCGCGGTACCCCGTCCTCCCACTCGGCACACGCACGGGCGCAGGAAGGAGGCGCAGGCGGAAGCACAGCGGCGTGTTTATTAAAGTGCGCGCGGGCGCTCAGCGCGCGTCCAGCACCAGCAGCTTGTGCATGTACGAGTTCAGCCAGTGGCGGCGCTCGAGGGCGGCCAACATCCGCGCGCGCTCCCGAAAGGCCGCGTCGTCCGCCAGCGCCAAGCTGCGCGGCGATAGGCGGGTGGCCGGACCCGCCCAGGTCCCGCCAGGGGAGCCGAGGCTGTGGGCAGACGGAGAGACGCGGTTACCACGATTCCAGGCCCCCCGCCCGCCGCAGCCTGTCCTCTCCGTGCTCGAACTCGAAGCCCTGCTACTGCACGGTCTGCGGAGGGGCTCTCTGTCCCCGTCTCTCTTTCTCCGTGCGGGTCTCTCGGTTCACGTTCGGAGCTCCCTGAGTACGGAGACCGAGTCTGACGCACTGGTCCGCCCCCAGCGCATGGCCTGGCACACCCTCAGAACCCAACGATCGTTGTTCAAGGGACGAATCCGTTTCTGCTTTGACTCCTTTCGAGTCTCTCGAGGCCTTTCTCAGAATCTTTTTGTTTCTCTTTATCTTACTGATTCCCCGTCCACCCCCATCTCTCCCCACCCCTAGCCTCTGTCCTCCTTTCTCTGGGTCTCTATCCCCCTCTTTGAGTCTCTGTTCCCCCACCTTTTTGGGTCTCTTTCCACCTCTCTGAGTGCCCACCCCTCCCTGGGAGTCCTGGGCATTGCACGTACCTGAAAACCCTCGTGGGGGGTAGGGCGACGCCTGAAGCAGTGCCTACGCCCCAAGGCACGAGCAGCAGGAGCAGCAGCAGCAGCCGCACCCGGGAGCTCCCGGACACCTGGCGAGTCTCCATCACCTGTGGAGAGACAGGGAAGGGCTCGGTGAGGCCCATGTCCTGGCCCAGAACCCCAGACCCCAGAGTCCGCCCACCCCTGGTAGCTCGCAGGGCCCCCTACCGCGCAGTAGGCTCCTGCTGCGAGGCTGGCAGCCCCCTTATATCCCTTGCACAGCCCCCGCAGCTGGCAGTGACGCAGACCAGGGGGCTGGGGGCGCGGGGTCAGCTTCCCCCCAGGCTCATTAGGAGCCGCCAGCAGTAATGAGCTGGGGGTGGGGGCCCAGCGGCTGCTTTGGCGGCCACCAACTAATTGGGACCAGGAGCTGGGACCTGAGAAGAAGCGGGAGGGGGAGAGACAGACAGACGGAGAAGTGGACACAGGGGGTGTGTCAGAGGGATAAAAATAGAGACTGGCGGAGGGACCATCAGAGCGGAAACCAGAGGCACAGAGAAAAAGAGACACTGGAAAAGCCACAGAGAAGAGACGGATGGGGAGAAGCAGAGGCACAAAGAGATGAAGTAACCCCGAGAGGGAAGGACAGAGACAGAGTGACAGAGGAAAGGGAAGAGAAGAAGAAAGGGAGCAACCGAAGAAGAAAGAAAGGAAACGGAAGGAATAGAGAAAGGAAGGAAATTGACAAAGAGAGCCAGCTAGTGATGAGGGGAAAGGCTTAAAGGACAGAAAGAAGTGGAAGGATAGCCAGCCTGGACAGAGATGCCCAGGGATGAATCCGGGCAGGCAGTAAACCAGAAAGAGAGTGCGAGGTAGAGACTGGGGAAAAACAAGAGAAAGCAAAGGGTATGTGTGGTGGTGGGTATGAAGGCAGGTAAAGTGACCGGCGAAATCAAGAAAGTCTCAGAGAGATGATGAAGAGGAGAGACAGACAGGACCTGGACCTATCCCGTGGATATGTCTAACTCTTCTTGGGGGTGGAGTTTTGGGGTGTTGCAAAGATAAGCTCCAAGCCCCACCCACCCTGGCTCTTAAGAGGGTGCTCTCTACACAGCGGGGGAGTTCGGCAAAGGTTGGGAAGTCTCAAAAGGCAGTAGCAATCTGGATCTCTGACTGGCAAGACATGAGAAGCTAGTTCCCTAGAGAGGAGGGGAACAGAGCCTGGGCTTCTGGGTCTAGGAATGTAGGGGACAGGGACAAGACTCCTGGCACTTGGACCCTTGGGCTGAGTATAGGAGAGAACGGAGGGCCCGGGCCTCTAGTTTCAAAGGGAAGATAGTTTGGTTGGGCCACGTCCCTCCAGCAGAGGATCCAGTCCCTAACTCCATAGACAATGTCTTTTATCTCTGTTCCTTTAAGAGCTTGTCGCTAGGCTCCCAGGATCCCCAGGGAGGGGGTCAGGTGCGTCACCTGCGCCCCTGGGACCCTACCTCCTGCAGCTCCGCCCAGAGCCATTCTGCAGCATTCACCGATCTCTACATCCAGCTCTACTCACCTGCTGTTATCTTGGACACCACTGAACAGGTAAGAGACCCCAGGGCCCCAAGTGACCCTGTCCCATCCAGGTATCCGCCCCCCTACCTCCACCTGACCGCAGACCTAGGCATCTCTGCCCCAGATCAGTCCCTGAGACCTTAAAATCTAAGCTCCATCCTCAATAAACAGAGAGACCTGAGTCTCCCACAGCTCTCTCCTCCTGCAGGCTGAGGAATCCAGACCCTGACACCCTGTCTCTGGAGGACCGGAGACTCAGAGTTCCAAGTCTCCTTCTCACTCAGGATCCAAGGTTTCAAGACTCCCATTTCCTTTCGCCTTTGTAATCCGGCTCCCCAAGCTTGGCTTTCTCAAAATTCTAGGCATCTGAACCTTCAGGCTTTTCCTCTCTGAAGAACCAGGACTTTAGACCCGCAGTGCCCTCCACCCTCAGGGAGTCTAAACCCCCAGCAGCCTCTTGCTCAGTACCCAGGAGTCTCCCTCCTCCCCCAGATCCAGGCGTTCTGGCCCCCAGCCCCCACTCGTTCCTCTGAGCCTCCTCTAGTGTAAACAACTGTCGAGTGAAGGTGTCCCCTTGGCCCTAGAAGAGGAAGGGATCCCGTGTCCTTTTGGACGTCTACACCTTCAGAAGTCCAAGTTAAGGAGTCTGGGAGCTTGGAGAGGTGTCATTTTTCCACAATTTTTCTGGGACCCTCTTGGGGAAACAGATAAGGCAATTAACTACGACTCCCAAGAAGCCCCGCGCCTCGGTGTCCCTTAGCTACAGTGGCCACCGCCCCAGCCTTCAGGGAGTTGCAACTGGGTTCTCCTTTTCCTCATGCAAGTTGGGCGGGGGATGCGGTCTACCTGGGGACTAGTGGGCGGGGTCCTCCAGAAGTGGGCGGGGACTTTGGGAGTGGGCGTGGCCTTTGGGCGTGGACTGGGGCTCTCAGGTGGCTTCCTGCCTTAACCCTTTCCTGCCTGCTCCCCCGCAGCTCTAGGCGCCTTCCAGAACTATGAAATCCTTCAGCCCCATCCCCTTCCTCCTCATCTTCCTCCTCGCCGGGCTTGGTTCCAAGGCTACCCCTTCGGCCTCACCGCCTGCAGTGTCCGACGTCCCTGAGATGGGGTACCCCTCCCAAACCTCCCCTCATGCTATGGAAAATTCCACTCACGACCAGCCTAACCCAGAATCCCCTGGGATTGCTTCTCTTGAGCCTTCTAAGATGCCTCATGCGGTTTCCCCTGAACCCTCCTCTCATAATTTCACTGAGACCCCCAATCCTGACCTCCAAGAACTCCCACACTCAAAGTCTCCCGAGACCCCCCAAACTAACTCACTCAACACCTCAATATCAGAATCCCTGGAGACTCCAAAAATTAACCCCTCCCAAATGACACATTCAGAAACTTCTGAGAACCTCGAACATGACCCAACTGAAATTCCACACCAAGAATCCCCTGAAACCCCCAAACCTAATCCCTCCAAAACTTCACGCCCAGAATTTCCTGAGACCTCCAACCCTGGCCCTACCCAAACTCCACACCAAGACTCCCCAGAGGTTCCAAAACTTAACTCCACTGAAATCTCGCGTGGAGAAACCCTTGAGACCCCAAACCCTGACCCCACCAAGACCCTTCACCCCGAATCTCCAGAAACCCATGAGCCCGACACCACCGAGACTCCAAATTCTGAGTTCCCCCGGACCCTCCACTCTGACCCTACCAAAACTCCCCACTCAGAATCCCATGTAACCCACAACCCCCGCCCCACTGAAATCCCGCGAACAGAATTCCCCACAACCCACTACCGAGATGCAACAGAGATCCCCGTGGCCTCTGACCCTGGAACCTCCACTAGTCTTCACCCAGAAACGCCTGCACCCCTCAAGGACCGAGCTACTGCCCTAAGTGAGCTGCCCCTGAATATCGAACCAGAAACCCTTGTGGCCATCCAAGCTGGATTCCTTAAATTTCCCGCCTCAGACGCTCTTGGGACCATTGAGCCCAAGACCTCCCAGAACTCTAGCCTTAAAGGGCCAGACCCCCTTCCTCTCTCAGCCCGGATGGCAGGCCCCCCTGCTCCTCCAGGGCCCCCCAGTCAGCCAGCCCCTGCCACTCCAAGGGCCCCCCAGCGGCGCAGGCTCTGCCAGGCTTTGTTTTTTATATACACTCAGCTCTAGGAAGATATGAAATATTGCCATTTGTGACAACATAGATGGACCTCGAGATAATCATGCTAAGCAAAATGAGTTGAAAAGGACGCGCGGCTAAGTCTGGGTGGCTAAGTCTGGGTGCTGAGAGTTCAGAATGCTCATTCTCCGGCCTCTTCCTTCAGGCGTGACCCTGGCTGGGCGCCCCCGGGGCGCAGTGGGCGGGGCCCTGTGCTTCTTCTTCGCTGGGATTGGGCTGCTGCTCGGCATTTTCCTGCTGTTGTGGTGTCTCTACCGCCGGGCGAGTCGACATCGGCCCTTCGCACACCACCGGCTGCCAAACGACGGAGATGAGCCGGGTGAGCGACCCTTACATTGCCCCCCCTCGAGTGCCAGCAAGTTTCTTTAACCTAGTTTCACCTGGCACTTCGGGGCGCCCCGAGAGTCCCCCATCTAAGGTCAACAGAAACCCTGACCCCTCCGTGGTCAAGTCCTGCCTCCCCTGCTTCCCGCCCCGCAAAAAACATTCTTTGAAATTCCAGACACGCACGTCCAGTGCCGCCCCCAGGCCAGCTGGGACTAGCGGCAGGCTCCCTACGAGCCCCGCCCCTCCCCTCGCCTGGTACCCTGTATTCTCCGCCCCCTCCACTTCAGGCCCCGCCCCTGTTGCGTGGCCGCCTCGTCCCCAAATCTATTCTGCGGACCTCCTCCTCTGATTTGAAAACCCAGCTCTAAAAGATGGTCGCATCCTCTGACCCGCCTCCTCTTTGGCCGGCGGCGCAGCAGAAGCGACAGGACCCTTGTCGGCTTGGGGATGACCTCGCCCTTTTGCTCCCACAGTCATACATTTGGACGCCCCGAAGGAGCCCTACGATCTCTACTTCTATGCGCCAGACGCCTGGGTCCCGTCACACATCGCCACCAAGCAGCCGCCGCCCACCCCCCCGCTGCCGCCAAAGCTGCCCCCGCCGCCCCGTGGGGGCCGCCCCCAGCGTCTGGAGCCGCTCTCCCCCGCCACGCTCCCCAACAACTTCGTGTGAGCATGGCTCGGTCTCGCCGGACCTGCGCCATCCCCGGATGGAGGAGAAACCCAGAGATCCAGTCCTCCAGACGCGCTTCGCTGCTTAGTGGTACTTTCGGATAGAGAGTCCAGCTCTCAGAGATTGCTTTAGCTGCGAGCGGAGGCCGAATAAATCACGTGTTGCCACTGTTAGACACCTCCTCCAGCCTGGGTCCTGGGGGAGGGGTGCTGGGGTCCTAGGATACCAGGTCTGAGGGAGGAGGAGGGGGCTGGGGGCTGGGACTCCTGTGACTTCCACCGCCAATAACCCAATGACGACGACTGGGTGTTTACATCAAAGCATTTTATGGGGAGTGGGGCAGGACAGGATTTACAGTCACAGACACAGAGACACAGAGACACAACCCTGCCCTGGGAAAAACATCCCTCTCCCCCAGCCCCATTCCCTTTTCTGGGATTCTGTGACTTCTTCTATATAGGTACCCCAAATTCTAAACTGAAAGAGGAGCATCTGAGGGGGGCAGGATCCCAGATTTGGAGTCATTTAGCCCCTGAGGGACACAACAAATGGCCACTGAGAAAATGAGGGTAGCTTGAAACCACCCAGGAGAATAAAGTGCAAGGAATTGTGGGAAGAGGGACATCTTGAAGCCACCATGGGGAAGTTCAGTGGTGGTGGCTTCAAACCATTGAGTTGATGAACTTGAGCAGCCACTATTTAGACCTGAACACCACGTCAAAAAAAAGTGCATGGGGGTGGAGAGAGGCATTTTGATAAAACCGCCATTTTGGTTGTTTCCCTAAACGTTGCGCTAAGCTAGGGAGAAGAAAGTCTCGGGGGATTTGGTGCTTCAGCAGAATCTGCTGGTGGAGGGAGGGGTGAAGAGGTGGGGGGGAGCTTGAAACTGCCATTTTCCCTCGAAAACGCTGGTGAGAATCAATCTCTAGAGTGGAAGGGATGGACGATTGGTTAAATCAACCTGGAAAATGCAGAATAGAATCAGGAGAGACTTGAAACTACTAGAGGAAGACTTGAGTTTTCTGAAAGGAGACAGGGAGCTGAGGAATCTCAGGGTCCCTGGGGTTAAAGGAAAGGGCGGAGGAGCCTCAAAACCACGAGAGAGAGCGCGAGAGATTGAACGGTCCATTCGAACAGAGCCCTGAAAGGAGAGATGTGAAACCACTGAGGCAGAACAAATGGGGAAGGGAACCTGGAGGAGAATTTGGGTATCCTCGAAACTGCCAGTCTGCAGCTTCACTACCCCTGAGAGGCAATTGGGAAGGGAAGAGAATTGGACAGCACTGGGAACCAGGGAAAGTGCTTCTTAGGCCTGAGGCAAGACAGAGAGGACTGGGGTTCCTTGACACTGTCACTCAGGCCAGAGACGTGTGAAATGGAGGTCCTGGAAACTGCCATCCAGTGGGAGGCACATGATCAGTAGTCCCGGACAGGGGGTGGGGGTCTTGGGGGCTGAACTGTGCTGTGCGTGGCCCCATAGGAGGGAGGGGGCGCAGGGGGTGCCCCAGGGGGCTCATCCTCATCCTCCATTTCACTTTCGTCACTGCCAGCCAGCTGGTCGTGGCCAACAAAGCCACACTTCTCTTCGCTCATCTCCTCAGGCTCCGCCCACGGCTGCTTCTCTCCAGAAGCGAAGACCCCGTAGAAGATGACACCCCCATAGTGCACCAAGGAGGCAATTAGGAACACGTACTGCCACTCTTCCCGAGTCTGCAAGGGAACAACGGGGTGGTGAGATCGGAAGCCAGAGAACCCTGAGAGGGGGTGGGGAGGCCCAGAGACGGGGGACACAGGTCCAGAGAGACACCTAGAGAGGGCAGTGGTGGGTCCCAGGGACAGCGACGCGTGTCAGGGAGGTACCATGCACAGTTATGGAGCGCCGGCGGGTCAGGGCAGGCGCACTGACCTTGTGCTTGGTCATCGCACCCACGATGATGGGGCACACCATGCCCGACAGCGTGCCCACGCCGTTGGAGATGCCCATAAGGATGCTGGCGTAGCGCGGGGCGATGTCCAGGTGGTTCACGTTGAACCCTGGCGAGGAGAGCCAGGAGGCGTCACACCCGAATCTCCCTCCAGTGACTTCTCTGAGACGCCCTTGCCCGCACTCCTACCGCCCCCCTCCCCGCTGCTCTTTCTAGTCCACCTTTTGCGTGGCGGGGAGGTCCCCTTCCTGAGCCCGGAAGTTCCCCACAGCGCTGTCCAGAGTCCCCCAAGCTGCAGATCCGCGCTTCTCACCAGAGATGGCGAAGCCGCTGAAGCCCACGGCGAGGACCAGGAAGGAGATGGCCACGCCCTTGGAGTGCGAGTAGCCGACCACCAACAGCAGCGTGGCTTCCATGCCGAAGCCTGCAGAAGCCGCCTCATCTGAGCGCCGGCCGCCCCTCGCCGCCTCTCCAGACCTCATCCCGCCCCGGACTCCCTCTGTCCGCTCCACGCCTGTCCCTGGTTGGGCCCCCATTCCGCCCTCGCCCACCCTGATCTCCCCAACCTCCTGACTAGGCCACGCCCTGAGGACGCGGGGTCCAGGCCGCACCCCTGAAACTTCACTCCTTTCGTTCTGTTCTCATTTATTAGGCAGCACGCCGCCCGGACAGACCCTCGTCTCCCCCGGTCCCCGCCTCGCGGCCCCTGTTCATCACCTACCTCCCGTCCTCTCCGCCCAACCTGTGTAGGCCCCGCCCTTCCAGACCCAACTTGGTGTCGCCTCTGCTCCACCTCGATAATCTATCACACATACTCCCCGCCTACGCCTCGGACGGCCACCTAAGATTCTGCTGGGTTCAGCCAGGTCCGGCCTCGCCCTGCCTCCACCTTTCTGGACACGCCCGGACACGCCCTCTGACCCCGCCGCATCCTCCCACGGTCCCGCCCCCTTGGTCCTCCCCACCGCGCTCTGGCCCCGCCCAGGCTGTCCCAGGCTAGGTCTAGGCCCCGCCCCACTCACCCCCACAGTTCATCAATTTGCGCACGTTGGTGGTGGACATGATACGGCGGCTCCTAAGGAAGTCAGCGATTTGGCCGCCGATGGGCACGATGATGGTCATGACCAGGTGCGGCAACGCTGACACCAGGCCCACCTGCGCAGGTGGGAGTACGCGGCGGGGGTTGAGGGACCTCCGGGCCGACGTCTCCACCCGGTTCGTGCACCACCGGCTCCTCCTTGTCTCTCGTTCCAAGCCCGTGGGACCCAGGCCCGGCTCCTTCCCCCTCACCCCGCCGCGCCCCCTGCCCTCCCCTCCTGGGCCCAACCTTGCTGATCTCAAAGCCGAACACTTCTTCGAAGTAGGCGGGCTGGGAGATAAGGAGCAGGTAGAACGTCCAACTGCGACAGAAGTTGGCCACGATGATGGCGTAGACTGGCATCGACGTGAAGAAGCGCCTCCAGGGTGTGTTAAACTTCTGCGAGGGGCGAGAGATGGAGCCGCTAAGACGAACCAGGGCCGGGCACGCGGTGTTTCTTCAGAGACCCCACTTAAGTCCCGCAGAGACCCACGTCTCCCAACCTCACTATAACATCCAGAGCCCCAGGGGAACCGCCCTGACTATGTCTCCGTTGGGGACTCTGGGATCCTAGCCTCACGGTGACACTTCAGGGATGCAGGGGGTCCTGACTCTACAGTAGCCCCTCAGGTTTGCACGTATCCGGACCCGACGATGACCCTCAGAGACCCATAAATGTGGGCCTAGGAGTCTCTCGGCACTCAATTACAACTCCTGAATCTAGCCTCGCTCACCCGAAGATCTAAGCAAAACCCCCACACTCCAATCCCGCTTCTGCTGATTTAACCACGCCCACCAGTGGTTCCGCCCACCTGGAACCCCGGACCTACGCTGGTAATAGCAGACTCCCCCCGCCCCCCGCTTTAACCCCGCCTCCTAGCCTCGCCCACTTTGCTGTCCCACCCTGTCTCCTCTGAGAGTCCACCGGAACCCACCACGACCTACGCGCTGTGCGGGTTCGAAGCCCCCTTTTCTCCTGCCTGCCTGCCTGGATATCTCCCCTCGTCCCACAAGCCCCCGCCCCGCAGGCTTGGGCCCGGACCGTGAGGGGGTTCATGAGTTTGGCGCTCTCGCCGATGGCTTCCTCAATGTACTTGCGCTCCTCCTCTGAAATGCTGGGGTGCAGCGCTGGGGACTCATAGGAGACAAGCAGCCAGAACAGGTACCAGAAGATCCCGAAGCTGCCTGGGGGGTGGGGAGTCAAGGGGGGATGGAAGTGAGGTGACGACCGGCCTCGTTCCGCCCCAGCGCCCCCCAGACCCAGGCGTCCGGGCCCCTCACCATAGACGTAGAACACAGAGCTCCATCCTGAGTACTGCACCAGGACCCCGGCGAGAGGCATCGCGACCACCGCCCCAGCATAGGAACCTAAAGGGGAGGATTTGGGATGGAGAACAAACCTTTCTACCCGCAGATCCAGGAGTGCGGACCTCCAGCCCCCGCCCTTCAGGGACACAAGTACAAGCCCCTCCCTGCACAGATATATCGGTCCAGGTCCCCCTTCTCTCTCAGACCCACAAATCTAGATCCCAGCCCCTTCCTCTCACCGCAAAAGGCTGTCGTCGCCAGGCGACTTCGCTCTAAGGGTGGGGCCCATTTGCTCCAGATCCCGTGGCAAGCGGGGTACGTGACCCCCTAGGGAGAAGAAAGCCAAAGTCAACGAGAAGAGGCGGAGTCAGAAGGGGGCGGGTCGGATGGGGCGGGGCTTTACCTCTACCAACCCCTGCAGGATCCTCACGAAGATGACACAGCCATAGTGGACACGGGCAGCCGAGGGGATCAGCATGTTTAGAGTGGACGTAGCCACAATAGCAAAGCCGAAAACCCTGATGGGAAGAGTTTGAAGAAAGGGTTCAACTATCCCGCCGTGGATTCTGCTCTTTCCACCCACAGCAGAACCCCATTCCCCAGAACCCCCGAATCCACCTTCTCTGTGACTCCTACCTTCCCCAATCACAAACCCCACCTTTCTCTAAGACCCCGCCCCCGACCCCCTCCCATTTCCCCAGTCAGTCCCCAAATGCCAGGCCACACCCCTAACTCCACCCACGCAACCGTTGTCCCGCCCACCTCAAGCCCCACCCCTATACCTGTTGGCTGCGAATTTTTGGCAGATAAATCCTCCGGGAATCTGGGTGACAATGTAGCCCCAGAAAAAGGAGCCGTGTAT